CCGCGAGAGGAATACCGAGAAAAAGCCTCTCCGTGGTTCGTGTTTCTTTGAAGTTCGTGTCATTGAAAATGCAATTTTTGTCGTCCTTTTGAATTTTAAAATAAATTTTTGGGATCGAATTTCATTGAAAAGCGTATCATATTAAAAGCAAATCACTTAACACACTTCATGATAATTCCTGGGATCGTCCTTTCTTTATGATCTTAATCTAGAATTTCCGCAGAAATCCTCAACCTACACCACATTATTTTTTTCACTGCCTCGTCAATTTTTGTCGCACGAAAAAAATGGACGAGAGAAAAAATCAGTCAAGCGCGTGCTATACATGATTAGAAAAAAATAATTGGTTTAAACAAATTACCATCCATAATACAAATGGGGGAGATGTAAATTCAAATATTTAAAAAAAGTTATGGTTTCAAGCGATGTATCAAAAACAGTAAAATTCGAGCCAAATTGCATCGATTTATCATAATTTTCATGCTTGCTGCGAAAAATTCAGTGATTGATCAGTGCTGTGCAGTTCATCATAATTTGAAATGAAGTGGAGTACTGTACGTATTACAAATATGTTCTTCAAAACAGGACCCAACACTGAAAAAGTTGAAACCGACGAAAAATTTGGAGATTTAAAGAACAAGCTGTGATAATTCCTGGACCCAATAATGCTGCTGGAGGAAAAAGCAACGAAGATCAGCATGGAATTCTGCGAGTCTCAGGCGGTTATTCCTACATTTCTCCAGAAGGCACTCCGATCTCCGTCAGGTTAGTTACTTTTATTCAAATCACAAAATCAACAAAGAATAAACCCCAAGTGTGCCAGCAATTCTGCTGTATCCTTGCGAATCCAAATAACAGAAATCATACGAATTTCGAAGAAAATATGATCAGAAAATGAATCACGCATCAAGCATCAGAATTTCGTTCCTCAGAGTGTTTTTTTCTTCTCGGGCATCTCAAGCTTTAAAAATGCTGCTCGAAGTCGTCAGCTTCAATCGAACCAAGATAAATTGACTTCAGATGAATATTCTCAGCTTCAAAATCTTTAAATCTTGTAAACTGAAACGAAGAATGACACGAAAGAAGTAAATCTCTCTTGACTAAGTTTCACGACTTCACAAATATTGAAAACGCAAGAAAGAGAATGTCAAAGAAAACAAGTGCCGAAAATGTAGAATATCACATTTTCCTGGAAACACGCTATTTATTTGATCTCTCATCAAGGCAAAATAAAATGCAACATAAAATGAACCTGATTAATTTGAAACGCGCTGAAATTTGAATTCTCTCGATCTCTTCATGATTTCCGAAAAAGAAACCAATGAATATACTGAATTTTCAAAATCACAAGTTGAAAATCTTCAAAATGAATCACATAATCTTGTCTCTTGGGGCATCTCTTGTCTTCGTTGAAAAAACATGAACAAATTTGTCGAATATAAAAAAAGAAAAATTCATTGCTGTTCGATGTACAGTATAAGGTAGTCTTATGGAATTGAAAGAATGTGACATAACTTAATACATTCCCTCTACTTTAATCGTATGGATCCATCATTTTTGTTTTTTAAAATTTGAAGTAATTTAAACATACCTTCAGAAATATGAGCATGAATGAAAGAGCTTTTCAGTTGAATTACCGTTAAACCATGTATTTTTTTTATGAAGCAACGAGACAAAGAATTTTTTTTAAATCAAAACTTGACTAGTAATGAACTTCCTGTGCATTTCATTTTCAGATACGAAGCAGACGAAAACGGTTTCCGTGCATTCGGGGACCACATTCAAAGAGCATCGGACTCAAACGTGAACTTCAGCGGTCCGCAAGAAAATTTCTCAAATTTCGATAATTCTCAAAGAGATCCGGGTAGTGTTGCCATTGTGACCAGCAACAACCAACGAGGACGACCGAGTCTGCATGACGACTTTTCACACGTCAACCCGAGAACTTGAAGTCATTCTTTTGCAACCAGGTATACGTTTTTAACACGAGACGTGTTTTTGGCCAACTAGGAGCCAGTTTTGCGCGTTATGTCTTGACAGTTTAAAACAGTGTCAAACAGAACTTGCCCCTATATATGCGCAAAAAGAAATTTATAGGCGTGCGTTGTTGGAAAATGAAAAAAAAACATTGAAAAATATTCCTGTTGCATTAATTCAATTAATTTATTTCTCAGCATTTTCCTACCATTTTTTATCAGCATACAGTACTGATAAAAATGGCGGAGCTGGATATTTTGCCAGTACATGTTATACATACACAAAACTAACCAAGAACCAAGGATTATCACATACAGTATATGATCATACGTGCAGTGCCAATATGGACATGTAGAATTTGGGAATGTCAAGTGTGACTCCTTTAATTTAAGAGGCCCGGAGGAGCAACATTAAATTTAGGATAATAATTTTTTCAGAAAAAGAAAAGATAAGTTCTTGGAAGAATTATCCTTTTATCGATATACAGTACTGTGAAAAAATCAGAGATGAAATGAATTTTTCGAAATTGTAGAGGTTTTTCTGAATGCAATAACTCATTTTTCTTGCGTCACATTAAATTCAAAATCTAGCACTGCTGCAGTTCTTCATTAATCAAAAACGGATGATTCAAATCAGTTATTGTATTTGGCAAAAATAAAGAACAATAACAGAGGTATTTTTCCAAGAAACCTTTGTTGACCGAGTCCCCCAAAATCTAATCCCTTTCCTTTCACAATTTTATTCCTGTATAAGCTGGAATCTATCTAAAAAAAAATCCGAAATCTCCTTCAGATCACTTACTTCATAGTCACGATTAATGTCGTGCTCGGATTACGCAAAAGTCATCAAGTTTTTTTCTCAAAAGAATTTTCTCTAGATCAACAAAAAGAAGAAGCTGAGGATGCAATCAACTGCTGGAGAAACGTTTACTCTGTTGACGTGAATCATTCAAAATTCGAGGAACCCAGTTATTTCTCCACTCGACCGAGAAAAAAATAAAATAACAACGTAAAAAATGAAGTGACTCAAATGTATACTCACATTAAACAGTCAAACCCATTATTGTGCCTCGTTTTAAATTCAAAATTAGGTAAAGTACTGTCTATTTTATTTCTAGTACGTATTTTTTCTGAAAAATGAAATCGGCGAAGCAAATTTCCTCCTTCTACTGTGCGGCAAAAAGGCTGAAAAATCAGTTTGAAAAAGGTTCGAAATGTTTTTTGTGGTAGGGTTTTTTTCATGAAATAGCCTTCGCTGGTACTGAGTTCCCCAAATCATATTTCTTTTTTAACACAATCTTATCGCATCATCAACATCCCCTCTCTTTATTTTCAGCTGTCATTTTCAATTTGTTTAGATTTTTTGATCAATTTTCGTAAAAAGGCATCTTATCTTGGATACCAGGTAACTTCTCACCATTCTTGATGGTTCCTTTATTGTGATATTCTGCATTTTTGTTCTTAAGATACAATCCCTTCCAAAAACTCACGACAGTACTTTGATCATCACGATTGCTGGAGTGCCATTACCCAAAACGGATGAAGTACTGTAGTTCATTTTCTTTACAAATGTAGTACTTAGTTATAAATTACAGTGGCTCAAGTTAAAAGACACAGTACAATGAAGAGGAACTATCCCTCTTCTGTCTCTCCTTCCGTTCAAACTTGAGCAGTGCTCATTAAACTTCTACATTTAACTCAAAAATGAAAATATTTTAGTTGGATGTATTTGGCTATTCATGTGCGAGAAAAAGGTAGAAAAAAAAATTGAGAAAGGTTCGAATTTTTTTTTTCCGCGAGAGGAATACCGAGAAAAAGCCTCTCCGTGGTTCGTGTTTCTTTGAAGTTCGTGTCATTGAAAATGCAATTTTTGTCGTCCTTTTGAATTTTAAAATAAATTTTTGGGATCGAATTTCATTGAAAAGCGTATCATATTAAAAGCAAATCACTTAACACACTTCATGATAATTCCTGGGATCGTCCTTTCTTTATGATCTTAATCTAGAATTTCCGCAGAAATCCTCAACCTACACCACATTATTTTTTTCACTGCCTCGTCAATTTTTGTCGCACGAAAAAAATGGACGAGAGAAAAAATCAGTCAAGCGCGTGCTATACATGATTAGAAAAAAATAATTGGTTTAAACAAATTACCATCCATAATACAAATGGGGGAGATGTAAATTCAAATATTTAAAAAAAGTTATGGTTTCAAGCGATGTATCAAAAACAGTAAAATTCGAGCCAAATTGCATCGATTTATCATAATTTTCATGCTTGCTGCGAAAAATTCAGTGATTGATCAGTGCTGTGCAGTTCATCATAATTTGAAATGAAGTGGAGTACTGTACGTATTACAAATATGTTCTTCAAAACAGGACCCAACACTGAAAAAGTTGAAACCGACGAAAAATTTGGAGATTTTTCTGTCGAACGGAAAAAAATGATGACCTCAACGGATGTACATGTTTCGATCCGAAGTAAAAACTTTAAGAATCAACATATATTTCCAACACAGTTAAACTTATTCATAAATGTTTACATTTTAAATATCATGAGCAGTCTGACGTTTTTGGGTCTTATTCCAAGGTTCACGACAGGAAAAAGTAATTTGATGTACTCCTCCTGAATGACTCTCGAGATAAAAAAAAACCATCAGGGATATTTCAAGGAAGCAGAAACCCCCTCTGGCTTCATTTTCCAGAAAGAGAAAAAAAAAATTGTCCATAAACCTTGAGATTCATTATTTAAGGAGAACAGAATATTTTGTACAAAATTCCACACGAAAGTGTCTTCCAGATCCTGTTGCAATGCCGCGGGGGCAAAACGTGGAGGCATCTGTTTTTCTTTAGGCTCCAGGAATTTCCCCTGGGGCGTGTTTGGGAAACAAAAGGGGTTTTCTTCTTTTGTCCTTTTTCTTCTCGGAAATGCGTGTGTATATCATGCATCTTATTTTAATATATTTTTTTTTGTGTGTGGGGGCAAATTGCCCTTAGGGGGAGGACAGGGATGTGTTTTTCTTTTATGGCCTGGGTGCGGGTGGGACTTTTATGCGACGGTGATCGACGCTGCTGTCGAGGTCGTCCGAGTGTCGTGACGTCGTTTCGACCAGAAGTGCGGCGGTCGTCAGTCAGTGAACACATGAGGACCTACTGGAAATTTTGACTTGACAGTTTCTCTATAAGGTTTTTTTCATGTGCTTGACTAAGAAGGCTCAAAAAGCCACTCTTTGACTCACAGTGCACAGACTTTTCTTTGATCCACTCTGATGAATAAAAATCCCTAGATTTTTCACTGCTGATAAGGATTCAGCAATCGTCGAGGAAATTTTTGATTTCATGATGACCTTCTGACTATTTTTTATTATAATTTTTTGAATGTTGACAAAAAGGAAAAACCAAGGAGAATAAGTCGTACTTATTTTGGATTATAGTGCGAAAACCGGTTTTATGTCTAATAATGACTACAATTCCTGATTATTTTCTGGTGATTCAAAAATCGCTCTGATGTGAGGTGACGATAATTTGAAGATCTGGAAATATGACGAAACATTTTCCATGATTGCGTTCAATTTGTTCATCAGGAAATATGTGTACATAAATATTATCCTCAATTCTTTCTTGAAGCACAATCCATGGAATTTGTTAGCGTATAATTTAGAGGAAGATGACAATTGAATGATGACGATTTTTTGACTAGAAAGATTCTCTCCATGGCTATCATGTAAAAAAAAGGGAATCTGGAAAGCCTCCTATGATTTTCAGTTTGTCCATTCGTCTTTATAGCCTTTTCGAATGATTCAGACTCCGTGAGATTTTTTTTATTCAAATATTCTTGAGGATTATGTCAATTTAAAATCATGGTCAACTTGGAGAAAAATCCACGAAGACCCGGAATGTATTGTGCTAATTAAAACAGAAAACAAATTTCAGATTTTTTTTAGATCTACTGGTACTGAGTTTGCTAGAAATGGCGAACAGTGTGAATTTTCGGACTGTTTCTGCTACAATCTTCTCGGTGCTCATCGTACTGAACTGCTTTTCACAAATTCAGGTGAGTGTGATTCAAAAGCTTCATTTCTACTTGTAGAATCATAATAGTGTAGCTATCAAGGAAAGTGTTTGTGGACATGAAATGGGTGTTTTCAAAATTTTAAATCTTCTCCAGTTTGTCAAAATCGTCACATGACATTTACAGCTCGACGGTAAAAGCTTAACTAGCCAAAGGTAGACTCTCTTTACAAAGATTTTCTCTGTACTGTATTACGAATTTTTTGGCTCATCGGGGCTTCCGTCCATATTTTACCAGTTCTCTACAACGAAATTCTCTCGACAACGAAGTTCTCTCTACCACGAAATATGTGTGATCCACTGATTTTTTTCTGTCGACAGAGTCCACCTGTACAAGTTAAAACCAGTGAATCATTGGTTGAAAATGATTCAGGAAAAAAAATACTGCAATTGAAAAATGCCATCGATGACAGCGCCGTTAATTAAATGTTATTTCGCCAAAATGGCGACGTGACGGATCTTTTAAAATGTCCACTTAATTACTCTACTTTATTTCGGCTTTGCTATGTGAATAGCTACCGTTTACTCTCGCAGACTTGTTTTTGTAAGCAGTATTTAAAGACTTGTGGCTAACTCACTATGATTTGTGGTGGTCGAAAAATGACTCCATTCTGCTGCCTCTCAAGAAATTAAGTGGAAAATTTTTATTGAATAATTTGTCGAGGCTTGGTTTCATTCATAATGACTATAATGTGAACTAAAGATTGAAAAAAACGGATTCAATCATGATGACTTGAAACTTTTGAAGTAACCAAAAATCGACACTCTTTTAAAATGGAAGAGTAATGTATGCTGTCCAGTTTCGCTGCTTACTTTGCAAAAAGAAGTACAAAAATGCAATTATTTTTCTGTGAGGGGTGACACTTGGGAAATTTTGTTGAATATTCTACATCGCCTCCGCACTTGCCACATCAAATTCTCTCCCGATATTTTCTGCATCGCAGAATATCTTCTTCACTGCGGCATTCTATCCATCACGGCATTTTCTCACGGCGACATCAAAACAATTCCAACAGCTCAGTGTTCACTCGGAATCAAGTTCAGTTTCACACCAAGTCTTTACTATTTCATTGTTCATGCTCATACGTCTTACTTTTGAAGTACGTAGCTTCGGAGTAAAACAACTAGTTGTGAAACTAAGGCAGTAGTGTAAGGTAGGGTGCATTAGCCTTACCGTAGGGATTTTAAATTAAGTAAGTCAATCGCTTTTTTTTTAAAAAACGAATCGCAGGAGATTTGTCGTCATCAGATCCGCTTAATGACTTTTTTATCTCAAGACTTACCTCGAACCCGTTCAACTGAAATGAAGGTGAAGTTTATTTTGCAAGACGAAGAAAAAACTTGCCAGGATAAATTTGGTATTGCTTTCCCCTCGACTCATTGATGTGAACCACTCAAGCAAGACAATCAAAAACATTCTGAACCCCACCCACGCTGCAGGAGCAAGACACTGACATATTTCTGGGTACCGCAAAAAATTAATTCAAGAGTTATATATATATATATATATACTGTTACTTCTTGTTAATAAGGAAATAATTTGATTTTTTCACTGACGTGGCATCAACGTAATTTTGGACCTTGCTAACTTCAACCTCCCTCAAGTGAAAATTTTGTTTAGTCGCGTCTCAAGTGTCTTGAGAATAATGTAAAATAGCCCCTCCTAACTCGAACTTAAATAGGATTTTTGCAACAATGAGTTTAAATATTTTCGGAAAAGCGCTTGACCCCTTGGTCCGGTCTCTTGGCGATTTGACGTCTTTTTCGAAAAAGTCTAAGAACCATATTGTCTAAAAAGATCATAAGTCATGTTTTTCCCAAGATCAATTTGATTTGTGACTGACAATCAGTAAGTGGGGCATTTCTGACGAAATGAATGGCCATAAATGAATAGCAGAATGCTTTATTGCTGGCAGCACATCATCTTGCCATAAAATATTTTGCAAGATTCCTGGGGTATTCCTCACTGTTCCACGATGAGGGTTAAAATCACAAATTTGCAAGTGAAGTACAGTCGATTTTTTTCTAAAATCAGTATTTTTGTAAAACTTTTTTGCTCAATGAAAGTCGTCATCCTATTATTTAGTGACTCTATTTTTTCCTCAGCAAAGCTTTTCTTCCATGGTCTCAATAGGTTTGTTGAAACAAAGATTCAACAGCGTAACACATGTTCTTCAGGATTCAATGGTTTCAATGTGTAGCACAAATCTACTGATGAATACTGCCCTAGAAAAAAAGAGTACCCCACACAACAAGCATAAAAAACCGATGGAATACCAACGACGGATCCATTTCTGCCTTGTTACTTTCGTCTTTTCTCTTTTCATTTTATTTGTTTATTTTTTTTTTATCTTGGGGTCAGGAAAGCCGATCGTTGCCCAACTGAAAAATATGTCGGGACGCGTTCTGGCATGCATTAATGCATAATCGCTTTCGACAGGAATGCTCGGCCCGTCGACATCGACAGCGGGACTCGGCGTCGAGTGAGGAGGATGAGGTGCCATCACCGGGCGTGTCGCGAAGCTTCGCTGCTGTGTCCACCAATGACGTGAGTATAAAAAACAAATTAGTCATATGTCAAGAACAAAGAAAAATAGGAATGAAACACAAGCATTGACTCTAGATAACGGGATTCACGACAGAGACTTTTAGAAAGCCCTGCGAATCATTCAGAAATCTCGTGGGTCGCAAATTCGATTCTGAAACAATTCGGAGCGATTTTTCTAGAATAATTTAGAATCCCCATGTTTTCCATGTACAGTACTGTAATATTTAATTGGTCGAATAGCATTGAAATAATCAGCTGTAAATGAATATAATGCAAATATCTGCTGTTTGACTACTTTTGAAAAATAAAACGCTCCAAAATGAAAAAAAACGTTTTTGATTCTGCTGGGAAACAAGAGCTTAAATATCTTACTAAATTTTGATAGAGATTAAGGGGAAAACTGTAGCATAATTAGAAAGGTAAGACTCATTTGATGTTGAAAAAGCGGGGCTTAAATATTAAAATATTAAATTAAGCTGTGAAGTGTAGAATAATTTGAATCAGCGAATTCAACTTTTCCCGAAGAGAGAAATTCAAAAATAATTTGAAAATAACTCGGTCAAGAGGGGAAGTGAGCAAAGCAAAAAAATTTATTCCCAATTTCCTCAAAACATTTTTTGCTGTAAATTTTCGTAACGTCCCGCTGGATTTTCTTTGATATGAAATTGAGAAAAATTGTCCTCTAGTTTTCGTTTGCTGATCGCAAAGAAAACAAATATTCGGCGATTTTCAAGACTTTTGAAAAGCCCCTCGCAGGAAAAAAAACCAGAAGGATGGGAATAAAAAGTGGGATTATCCCAGAGCAACTATGCGTTTTGGGACACATGACCCATTTTCTGTACGTACTCACCCAGGAACCCGTCTCGGTACGACATGGGTCAGTTTTGTGTCTCATTGTGTGACGTGATTGACCCGATTCTTGGAGGCACCTAAAATAAGCAAACGATGTCATTGCTGTTGGGTGTATTTGCTTCTGGCTCAGATCTCATTAATGCATTGTCTCGCAAAGTTATGGGTTGAGTTCTATATAATTAGCTTTAAAAAGGAGGGTCTTTTTGTTGAATGATAATTACTACAGACGTGGCACCCGTCCCAAAACCGTCGATTTTTTCAATAATTTGTAAATGAGCCTACATTAGAAGTCTCTTGTGTTACAGGCCTGATCTTAACAATAGATTACTCGGAATACACATTAAATTACTTCCGAATATTGGGTTATTTATTCCAATTATAAATTGTGATTCTAAATTTACTCAAGAATTTAACGCTTTTACGGAGATATTGGCTCTTCTGGAACTTCGAAAGAGACGAGGAAAAGATGAACGAATGAAAGCATTACAGTATTAAAAACCTAAATTCTGTTTGTGACCAAATTGTGTTTCCCCAAGGTTGGTCACAAAAGAGAACAGTGTTGAATTTTCGATTGATCAAGTCCTTCGCTGTCTCACAGAACTCTATAGAAGATCATTCAAAATTTTTTTCTCTCAGTTCAGATCCGCGCAAAAGTGACACTGTAAATTAACTATAAGCGATTTTATAAAAGCAAATTCAACGTTTTACGTCTATTTGTAATTAATAAATTGATTATGAAATATTAATCAATTTATTATGACCGTTGAAACTGTTATTCAAAGCTTGCCTAACGTGATTTTTTTGTAAATAACATTTGAACTATAACGTAAATCCACATAAATTCTAGTGAAGAACAATTCTTTTAATTTAAAACTCAGCCGCACATTTTTATATTTTTATGTATAATCGTTTGCTGATGGATTATATTGTACTTAGGACCCTTAATGTTGATTCGCATCCCCAAGTTTCGGATCATCAAACATCAGTGTGTCAAGGTTGGAAATGCAGCTCTAATAAATTGGGACAAAGTGCTTTGTTTCATGCATAAACCTGAATACTTAATGACGCATTCAATTGTAATAATAACTTCCCCTCAGGGGTCACTGATCATATACGAGTATGACCTATCTATAAACCTAGCCAAGACTTAGCCACACAAAGGAAGCAAATTCTTCCAAAAATGTTTTTAATAGGTCAAATAATGGCCTTAAATTGTACTAGGATATAAATTACCCAAGAAAACGTGATAAATGAGACAAAAGCATTCGCATTTCAATCTATTCTTTAAAAAATTGAAGTTTTGCGTTATTTTTTATGACAAATGATTAATCAAAACCGTCCATGGCAAGAATTTCAAGATTATAAGAGATTTCCATATTCCCCCATTCGATCGTACGTGTCCCAAAGGACTTAGTTCACAGGTAATTTTGAAAGTCACCAACATAAAACTTGAAGATTATGAATAAGGTTTGCCGCTTAGAAAATTAAAACTAATTATTATGGAGAATTCTCTCTTGGAAATTCATCTGTCTTTTGTTTATCATTCGATTTTTAAATTGATTTGAAATTAATTTATGAAACGTGTCTTATTTTTGGAGAAAAATATGCATGTAAAGTATTTTCACAGTGAATTTTAACTTTTGAGCCATCATTTGTTGCCCGAAAATCTGAAAAGAAAACGCTGCCAAATCCGAACAGTGAAAAAAAGAGTTCTGATCATTATTAAAAAACGCGACGAGGTCGTCTTCATTTAATTAGTAAAGCACAAAAACAAACGTAATCAGGATGCCTTCCAATCAGACAAATTACAAGGCTATGTTTCGTGACGCACGTCAGTGAGTCAGATTTCGCTAATGACCTCGATCCTAGAATTGAAGGTCGTTTGTCTCGGATCATTGAACACATTACCGGAAACAGAACCTGCTGGTGTAACGAAAAATGACCTTAACACTACACATACCCGTCTCATTACTTGTTCATGTACGTATTTTTGTTAATTGTAAGCATTAATTCCTTGATGTCGAACCAAAGAGGAAAATGTTGATTGTCTACGTGTTTGGACAGTATAAGTGATCGTCGGAATTTTATACGAAGGATAGTTCGAGGGATTTATTCGTGTCTTGCTGTTCAATTTCAAGACAGAGACAATTTTGTATGTTTCAGAATCCTCCAAAAAATGGTTTGACATTTTAACTTGGGGTTTCGAAGCAAGTCTCCGAAGGATGTTTTAAAAATTTTACCCTCAACTGACATTTGAGGGATTTTTTTTCATTAAGCATAATCAAAAATTTTGATTTTTAAAATCGTGTACTGTACATAATTTTCAATCACCAAAATAATTCAAATTGCCCTTGGAGGAAATGAAGAACACAAATTAACCATATTTCCGCGCTACACGATTCATTCTCAAAATCAAATTCCGTCTTCATTGCAAAACATTTTGAAAATTTGAAACTGGGTCAGGATTTGAAGAAAAAGTCTACGTAAAAATATTAGTGTATCTTCGTCGATCCAACAAGACTTATTCAAGGGAATCGCTCGACTGATGACGAAACTTACGTCATCACACGACTGCTGCGTGACTTCAAAACTCCACACAATACTTTTGCATCACTGTATAAATGTACAATTTTGAATGTATTTTTAGAACACGAGATTTTTCGTGATCCAGTGTACACAAGGGCGGGATTTTTTCGTTTCGTGGAAAAACATGCGAAGCGAAAGTGAATCAATGGATTTTTTTACTTCGATGCCATCATTTAGTCACGTACCGTCGGAAATGTCATCCGGTGAAATTTTCAGTACCACTCCCTAGGCAAAATAGAGGCCAAAAGAATAAAGATGACGACGAAAGAAGGATTTATTTTCCAGTTTTATTATGTCTGTCAAATGCACCAAAAAGTACCGATTCCTGATGTTGGGAAATAACGAAGTACGCAACCGTCCAGATTTTTTCAAGAATTTATTTGAGCAACTTTTGAGAAACATTTTAATGTTTCGTACACTGAAAAATTTCAGGCACATTTTGATTCCAAATCAATGTGTGTGTGAAAGTGCGTTTGTAGTTTGTGAAGTGTTCGGTTTCATGGAAAAAATTAAATATTATACTGTAGAATCTCGTTATGACGAATTATTGCTTGCAAGGAATTTTTTCTTGGGTCACAGCTGTCCATCAATTTCATTTGAATTTCTTTATAGCGAAGTTTTTGCTAGAACGTAGATTTTTTTCTGGTTCCAGAGCGGCTTTTTTAAACAAAATTTTCCCATTTTTTCTACACTTATTTTATCGATGCCCCTAAAATCGAAGAGGGGATTATTTTTCTCGATGCTTTATTTTGGGTAGGAAAAAAACAAAAACAATCATTTAATTATTGCATAATTTGCGCGTTGAACATTTTGGGGTGGGGAATATCACTGGATGTTGTGGAAGTCAAGTCTGAGGCCGTTGTCTGAATTTGTGTGAGAATAATAATTGATACAGTATTGCGAGAATTTGAAACCGAGAGGGATTTTAGAATTTTCAAGAGGACCACGTCTATATTAATATTTCCCACCAAGAACTCATGACTTGATTCGCGATTTCGCACCTGATCACATTGAAAATTACCGAAAAAATTGTTGATATAATCCAATTAAAAAAAAACATTTCTTCAAATAGTTTTCCTATGGCTACACGGTGAACAGTCCAGTGCAGAAAAATCATCAGTCGGTGCAGCAAACGAGTCGCGACGGTGTCGTTACGGGCCACTACTCGTTTCTCGACGCTGTCGGGAATTTGCATGTGACCGAATACACTGCAGACTCGGACCACGGGTACCGAGCCAAGACCTACACAGTACCCAACTACGGATCCCCATCGAACCCGGCATTAGCTGCCCAGAAGCGAGCGAACCCGTTCATAACCCGGGACTCGTCTGCTGACGCGAGGAAACAAGGGACGTCAGTGGTGACCTCTGGTGGTGTGAGAACCGGGAAAACAGCAGGTTTGACCTGAGACACCAAATTTGTTTTTAGGAAGTTTTGTAGGATGAACAGGTGGACTCTTTCTTAAATGAATCTCTCATCTACAGCAGTTTTCTCAGTTCAACGAAAAATCCCCTGACCCTCTTGAGACAGACGCGAAAATTTGGATTAAATGATTTTCGTTAACAATAGTGGTTCCCTACTTTACAAAAAAGCCCGATGTAAAGAAACTTTCGGATCATTGCAACATTTTACAAAGGGAAGAACGTAACTCTCATTAAAATCTCGTTTCACAAAAAAACGATTTTTTTCGCAAGTTTTGCGTGAAAACATTGAAAGTTATTCAAAAGTAAGGAAAAAGTGAGAAGAAGAGTATAACTTTGCTGGTTTCCAGTCCTAAAAAAGGAGAATTCCAGACAATTCCGTTCTTGAAATAATGAAAAAGACTTAATTTTACATAATTCATTTTTGAAAGCACATTTTTATGCTAAAATTCTGAGATAATATACACCGTTTTTCGAGATTCATTCTACTGATAATTTTGTTGGTGTTCGGAACAGATTTTTAATTTTTTTGTAGCGTTTCAGTTGTTACACACATGCAGACACAATCTGCATAATTTTAATACCTTAAAATAGTATACCTCAACTGTTGCACTATAAGAACTTGAAGAATTTCCGCACATTGAAACGCATCCTGGAAAAATTTACATTTGGTAGGCATGGACATATATATATTAATTTATTTTTCTGGATAAAATCTTATTGAAAAAAAAACAATTAATTTTCGAAACACAATTTTTTTCAGCTGGACAAGAAGTACGTACCGTATTTATGATTGTATTAGAAATTCAAGGTTCTAGATTCCTTTAAAATTTTATACTTCCAATTCTCTCCATTATGTACAAATTATTTTTAGCAGAAAAAGCCATTTAATCAAATCACAGTCAGCGTATTTCAGACGAAAGTTCAAAAATAGACATGGTGAAAAATATTTTCGTAGTCGTAATCTGTGCAGGATGAATAAAAATCACTGAGAACTTGGGATTAAGAGCTTGGAATTACAGCTTAAAGAATATACCTGTACGTCGTACAGCAGGTGATTAAACTGAACCTCGTTTTCAAATAAAGAGAAGGGATCGAGAATCTCTGAAAGTACGGAAGTTTGTCCATGTTACGGGTTTCCCCAAATTTTTATTATATTTAGACACTGTTTCACGACCACAAATAAACAACAGATATTAAACAGGCCTGAAAAGTTCGTATACACAAGCGGGAGTTATTTTGGAATTAATTAAGAAGTTTTGAAATTTACTACCCTTTCTTTGAAATTAATAAATTTATCGACACATGAAACGTCAGTTTACGGGTTCTTTGTGCATTATAAAGATCAAGATACTGATCATAAGGAAGTTTTAAAATATCCATCGATTCCCGAATTCTGAATAAAGAGACTGGCATTAACCTTTTTTGAATATACTGTATATGTGATGCGATGGTTTTGGATTTTTTTTAATGCTGCGTGATTTTATTGCGATATTTTTTTTAAAGATTCTTCCTTCTTCATCAGGTTTCACTTCAGACAACTTATTCGCTGTGTCGAGGTTCCCATTGTCTCAGCAAACAGGGACTCGATTTTCAAGTACCACGAACAATAAAAACAGGAACCTCGGTACCACTCGAGATACCAGTGGTTCCTCAGAGGTTTTCCTCGGGAATTTTTTAAAGGGTGTTCAGCCCAAGAAGCCCAAGTTCAGGTTCAACCCGAGCAAGAAAACCTTCGTCCTTGGAACAAACGATGACCGAAGCAGGAAACTCAGCAACAATGGAATCAAGTTCAAGTCTGCTTCCCACCAGCAACAACCGTTTGTTGATGCCAATCTTGGGCCTGTTTCTCCAGGTAAAGTTCTCATCGAAAAAAAAAACAGTGTTACTTCATGAGTTTTGTGGCTCATCCTTTCTTGGAGTAATGTAAAATTAAAATTTATGGAGATAGAATTAATTTTTTAATCTCTGTAGACATTTGTACTCATGCAGATTGAGAGAAAATACTTAGTGGTGAAAGTAATTCTTATCCCTGCAATGAAATGATGTTAAAGTTCAACTACTCAATTTTGAATTTGAATGTGCAGGCTTATAAATATTCAAAAACAATAATGATACTATGCACATTCAAGCATTAATTCAATTCTAGCTTTTGTGAAGGCCCACGAAATTCAAGAGGAAAGTTAAAAGTTGTACTCGAAAAAAAAAATATTTCGTAATAAGTGAACGAAGTTTTGACTCTAATTCATAATCTTGAGTAAACAAAAATTAATTCAATTTGATCAAGAATCATTCAAATCATCCCTTGATCTGTTTGGAAATTGAACAACCGAAGCAGGAAACTCAGCAACAATGGAATCAAGTTCAAGTCTGCTTCCCACCAGCAACAACCGTTTGTTGATGCCAATCTTGGGCCTGTTTCTCCAGGTAAAGTTCTCATCGAAAAAAAAAACAGAGTTACTTCATGAGTTTTGTGGCTCATCCTTTCTTGGAGTACTGTAAAATTAAAATTTATGGAGATAGAATTAATTTTTAATATCTGTCGATATTTGTACTCATGCAGATTGAGAGAAAATACTTAGTGGTGAAAGTAATTCTTATCCCTGCAATGAAATGATGTTAAAGTTCAACTACTCAATTTTGAATTTGAATGTGCAGGCTCATAAATATTCAAAAACAATAATGATACTATGCACATTTACGCATTCATTCAATTCTAGCTTTTGTGAAGGCCCACAAAATTCAAGAGGAAAGTTAAAAGTTGTACTCGTTTTTTTTTATAAAGCATTATTCACTTGCTTCAAAACTGAGATTAAGTATTAGAACTCATTTGTTTTTAATTAAGTTAAACTAGTTCTTAGTAAGTTTAGTAGGGAACTAGACAAACCTTTAACTTGATTTTTCAACCAACTGATGTAATTTTGTTTGTTTGAATTTTTAGTTTTCAAGACACCGGAAGAAGAGTTTGGGGTTCGATTGGTCACCAAACCAGTGACCAAAGTCAAGGATTTCCCAACCTTGATACCCTTCAATCCCAGACCGACAGCAGCTACATCTATTGATGATGGAAAAATCTTCACCTTCACCAGACATGGCAGGGTTCTGGATATTCCAGCCTCAACTGAGTCTTCAATCAGGCAAAATACCAACACTTTTTCACAATCTAAACATATTCAAAGAGATTGAAATTATTGTTCATCTATAGAATTCACGAAAATGTAACAATAACTCAAGTATAGCATTCCTGTTTTTCACTTGAGACACGTGATCTATAAATTGGTCCAAAACGAATTTAGGAAATATTTGAGTGAAACCTGGGCCTATTTTATTTTTTTTACACGAAAATGTAACAATAACTCAAGTATAGCATTCCTGTTTTTCACTTGAGACACGTGATCTATAAATTGGTCCAAAACGAATTTAGGAAATATTTGAGTGAAACCTGGGCCTATTTTATTTTTTTTAAAGAAAAAAACCAAGTTTTCTTTCCCAATGTTGAAAAGAATGCACGTAATATTTCAAATATACAGTACATTAAGCGTTTTTTGGTCTCATCCAAGCTAGTGAATTTCAAAATTTCCCCAGATTGAAAAGCTGTAAAATTCGAGGGAATGCTGCTTTTGTTGATACCTTATTTTGCAAAAATAATTTTTTGTACCAAATCATGAAATTTTATTTTCAATTTTTGGCAGGTCTGAAGAAAAGCTGGATGAAAAACGTCCTTCACAACTTTTCCAGCAAATCAATCGATTCCAGAACGTTGCCGTCATCAGAGAATCGACTTTGAAAAGCAATGCAGTCCCCGAAAGCAATGAATTCACGAATAATTTTGTTTTGCGGAGAAAGCCAGAACAATTTTCACCTTCTCAAATTTGGACTCAGCAACCAATTGCTCATTTGATCGAGTTGTCGACGATTCCCACAACGGCCTCACCATCAGAATCGGATGAAGTCCGAACGACTATTGATCTTCTCCGGGTTCCTGTGACAGGAAATGACGAAGAATCTTCACAGATTTCAACGGAAAAAGACCAGGATTCAGGATTCAGACAATCCGGGGTTAATTCAAACTTGAACAGCGGTTTTCAGCGCGTTAATTTCCAAGATTTCGGCCCCAGGTTCCGAGTGACTCAAACTCCGTTCGTACTCCAGAAATCTTCAGATTTCGGCATCAAAATCCAGGAATTCAATTCGCAGGAAATCCGGGGACAAAATTCGGATTCACTGTTTTCAAAAAATGTTGAACAATCTCAGAAACGGGAATCTCAAGAATTTTTCCCTACAACTCAATCAGCAAGCAGACCACAAGACGTAGATTCGAAAGAAATCGACGTTTTGTCAACGCTTAGGCTCTTCACTCTTCCTCAACAAACAGCTTCAGCGAATGTTTTAACGAGCCAGCTTTCATCAACAGAAATTTCCAAGCTTTCAACAGATGCAAAAAGTCAAGAACTTTTGTTTGATTCTCCGAAACCTACGACACCGATTGTCAAAAGAAGGAAAAGTGCGAGAAAGATTCTGACCAGGACTTCGCCGATTTTCCAGACAACTACTGAATTAACTCCTTTAACATCTTCCTTGAGTTTGAGTTCAACAGAAGTTTTGAGCAGTTCTGCTTTGTCCCCATCAACCACTTCAAGTAAGTGAAAGTTTTATATATTACTACAAAATTTAGCCATAAGATTTATTCCATTGTTTGAAAACCAATAGAGGATGTGCCATTTTTTAAAGCGTTATTTGATCATTTCCAAAAATGTATGCCAAATTTTGTTCCCAGTTTGAAATTGAGAGAAAACACAGCTGAAAAATGTCCAAGCTAGAACATACAGTACATGATAGAAAATAGGGTTCATTTTCTACAATTCATAATGTTTCCAAATTCACTGTCAGTCTAAGAGAAAAAAAATTCTAACAGTTGAAAAAGAGACACTCGCAGATCTCAAAGCCATTATCCAGGAGGAAAATGTCTTCAAAACGGAAATTGAAGATTTCCGAAATTCAAGAAGTGCAAGATACGTTTAATTTCAATTCCAAGACTTCGAGTAACAAACTTCCAAACCAATTGGCTAAAATTAAAAAAAATCAATTGTCCAGAAATATTTCTGCATTTGCACAGGGATTTCAGAAGTACTGTCTCAACTGTATGAATTATTTCATAAAATATCTCCCTCCAAACAATTTTATGTTGAACACATTTTTCTTTTTTTTCGAATTCAGCCACTGAATTGACCACTTCAACTCAAGTGCAAAAGAAAAAGAAAAAGAAGCAGCCCAAAACTAAAACAAGTCCAAGTCCTCCGCAGACTTCATCAGAATCCCTCATTACAAGACCTGGCCCAGAAATCCCATCACAACAGCTGTCAACTGCTCAAGAAAGCACTGAAATCACCACAACTTCTGCTCCAACTTCTGGAAAGCCCAGGAAAATCATCAGGAAGAAAAAGAAGAAGACCACAGCTTCCCGCAAAGGAGAGACTGAGCCTGTGACAGAAACATCAAGCAAGAATTGAAAGAATAATGTTTTTTGTACATTTTGTTGATGTCAATCAAAAGAATCCACTCCTTGTAAAAAAAAAAAAAAGTGAAAAAAACGTGTGCTTTCAGCGTCGAAACTTGTCAAAACAAAGTCCTGTGAAGTTATTTGATTGAAAAATACATCTCTAATGCTTGAAATGGGACTTATTTTCAATGGCATGAAAGGAAGAGATTTTTTATTCAGATCAAGGATGCGTGAAGTCGGAAGTATAACCCGGGGCTAACTTCCGGTTCGAATTGCTTTTTCGTCTGAAAAAAAAAATCGGATACTGATACGAAACCAGCTAATCTAGACTGACAAAAGAGGAGAAGCTCTGGAACCTATTAATTCAATTACTGACATTTTCTTCCTCATGTTTGCTGGCTCATTTCCTGTGAACCGTCTTCCCTTATTCCCTGGTTCTTCTTGATATTCTGCAAAGGTTTCACGAAGAAGCTGAACCCTTGCTGATAGACTCTGTAAGCTTCCGTGGACAATGTTGTGTATAATCTGTTGCAGTGCATCACTGAAAGGCTTTTGGATGGTTGCCGTGAATATTGCCCAAACAAAACTCAGTTTTCAGATACTGTACAAAATTCAACATCAATCTAAATATTAGAAATGATTGTCAATATTGACATCGTATTTTATCAAGTATCCCATGCCCTTTTTTGCCCAATTGTTGATACAGGTGGACTCTCTCTACAAAGGCATTTCAAGGAACCATAGAGAAAAAATTATTTTACAGACAATTTTGTTGTAGAGAAGCAGTATAACGGATGGTTGCTGAGTGTTGCCCAAAAGCTCATTTTTCAGATATAAAATTCAAGATAAATCTGAATTCTGAAGCTATGAAATCGTATTTTCTCAAGTGTCCCCCTCACTTTTCCACCAAAATATTGTCACTCACAAGTGAACTATCTTTACAAATAAATTTCCAGGGACCAGATAAAAATTCGTTTTACAGAGAATTTTGTTGTTGAGAAGCCCTATAACCTGGGTGAAGAACCCTATGGAACTAAATCAAAATTCATGACACAGATAAAATCGTTGCATACATTTAAAATTTCTAGAAGCATTTTTTGCATAAGAGAATGCTTTTTTCAGCATTACTACATGCATTCTAACTGAGCTAAAATTCAAAATTAAGATATGCAACTTGTGGGGTTGTGGCATGGGGCAATGCGGCGTGACATGACCCAAGCATGGCATCCTTGTTTGGGCACACCAGCATTGCAACAAAGTAATGCTCAGATGACAGATCTGGATCTTGCATCTGGTTTGCCACAGTGCAGTAAACTGGGTGACGCAATAACAATCAAAACGCCACCAAAGAATTTGGTGGGCATGCAAAGCATCATTCAATTGAGAGCTGTGCTGGGATACATGACTGGGAAAGGATTGTCTTGTGTGGTGGATTGCATTGATCTTGATTGAGTCTTGTATATTCTGTGCAAAATCGAGTGTTGCACCCCAATGTATTTATTGGTGAGTGTTTGAGAGAGATTGGAACTGGAAGGAGTAAAACTCGGCAATTGGTCAGTGCGCAACCAACCTGTGGGACTCGGAGATCCCAAAATAAGCGCACAATATATTTGTCATATGCACACGTATAAAACGTTTTGTTAACCGACTCATAGTCGTTTTAAGACACCAAACAGTTCAAGGCGCCCCTTTATCGTGTTCTAAGTATCCTCTATCCAAAAAGACCACTGACGTTCTGCAAGTAGGTTACACCAGAGACTGTGCGGAATTTTCCCGCCGACTTTGACAACAGTCATGAAAATCCCTGAAAAGGGTAACAGGGAAACAAGTTTCTTGAAACTCAATCGGCGCGTCTCGGGACGCGCCTCGAAATACTGCAAAATAATGCAAAACAATTGGCTGAGTATCAGCAAAATTCTGTGGTTTGTCAAGTTCCGCGGGGAAATAGCACAAGATTCATAGGAGATAGGTTTTTCTGGTGACTGCAAGACGTTCATCCAATGTGGTCTCTGCTTGAAAAAGGTCTGATGATGGTTTTGGGACTTTCAGTCCCATTTATACCTGCAAGGGATAATTGGCAAGGTATGCCAATACCAATACTGAGCAATGAGGATGGTTGCCGCTAGGTTCTAACAAGGTGATCGATAAATCTAGTTTTCCTTCCAGAAATGGGGAGTTTTTCCCCATTTTGATTGGCAACATCTGGCTGGTTTGGCGCAGTTTCCCACAAAACGGGAGGCTGCATGTTTTTTAACAAAGATCTGGAGAGGAATCGCTTCCTTTCTGATTTTTGTTCCCACCCTCCTGGGGTTTTTGGTTCTGTTCATTTCTGCAAAGGGGACAATTTCTCTTCATACGCAGTTTTTCTGAGTTGGGTTTTATGGCCCAGTTCAGATGTTTGTTTATGACCCCTATTAGTGACAGCCGATTTATGGCTGTCACTGGTTTTGGCAGTTGCGCAAGCTATTGTGCCTGCGCAGTATCAGCAAATCTGTTGTTTTGCCCCTTTTGTTTCTCACATATTCTGTTACTTGGAAGCATTGCTTGGTTGTTTTGTTCTTTGGTTGGTGTGGGTGAATTATATTGCTAAGGGACTCCAATAAGGAGGATCCGGCCTCCTAAAGGGTGAGTGGCTGTTTCCAATTTATTTCAAATTCTTTGTTGTATCAGGCTGGACACAACTTACAAACATTCAAGCTATAAAAGCTGCAACTGATTATGTTTTTAGCCAAGACCCAATTAAAATCTGAATGCATTGAAAGATGTCTTAAAATATACAGCAGAGAAAAATACAGGCAGTCCCTTGCAATTTGACAATCCCAAAATTCAATGTCTGAATTTGCATGGAAGTTGACTTGCACTTTGACCCTTGCCCCACAATTCGATCTGTTTTGGCCATTTTTTTCACATGTTATTTGTTTTAATATTTTTGAATTTAACAAAGTGCATTGCAATTTGACCCAAAGTTGGCAATGGATAAGGGTCGAATTGTGAGGTACCACCTGTACAAGAAAGATAAAAAATATATTATTTCAAGGTTTACATTTGAAGAATTACAAATTTTGAATTTTTTTTTGGGTTGGGACATCCAGAATGCCAGACACCTAATATTGTATCAATAAGGCCCATTTGTTCTTTCACTTCCCTGTTCTTATGGTCATTAATCCACTTTTTCCCTTCACGAAGCCCAGCGCCTGGAAGTCCCATCTATTACGTTGGGACACTCTCCCCACGTAAGAACTCCCCAACGTACACGTGTGTCCCCCAAGTCAGACCAAAGCAGGGTGTAAGACCAGCCCGCTATACATCCGAACATACACAAAATTTATTGTCTTCCATGCAGGAAACAAGAAAAATTTAAACGTTTGTTATTTAGGCAGTGCCTTAAAAACAAATGATATCTCATTTTCCGAAATTGTCCCCCAAAGCCAATAATTATTTTATCCTAGACATATTGACAGCAGTTGTATTTGCTTTCATATTTTCCCCCAACCAGCCACTGATTCCTCACATGGAAGTAACATTTAAAATGAATTATTGAGAGATTTTTCTCCGAATAAATAATATCTATATTCTTTAACAGTAAGAGCAGTTGTATTTGCTTTCATATTTTCCCCCAACCAGCCACTGATTCCTCACATGGAAGTAACATTTAAAATGAATTATTGAGAGATTTTTCTCCGAATAAATAATATCTATATTCTTTAACAGTAAGATTACCTCTGAATATAAAATTGGAAATTTTAGGGAAGAGGAAAGTCAATATATATCAACTGTCTCTCCAACTGCTATAGAGTTTTAAAATAAATTATGAACCGATTTCGGAAAAAAGCAAGCATAAATCTTGGGGTTCTTGTGAAATTGCTGATTGAACTGGGTAATTTTACATGAAGTAATCTCGAATTAATTTTTTGGACACTTCAAATGAGATTTACACCTAAATCTGGTGTACAAATTTAAAAATTTCAGCAACCTTGGGAAGATATATTATTTTTGTGAATGAATAAATAAAAAACATGGATTTTATTTGTTATATTTATTTCTTCAGATTTTGGCTACCAAGAAGTGCTGTGATTTTGAAAACATGGACTCTGAAACAAAATTGGTTGTTGGAATTGTCTACGCGTCCATCATTCTTGACAATGTCCTTTTGACTGCCATCGGTAAATTTTCCACAATACCTAAATTTTTATTATATTTTTTTTTNTTACTGGCACAGGACATGTTTTTCTCGAAATTCGGGTGTTCATTTACTAGTCAACGAACTTTTCAAATAGTCTGAGCAGCAAAGTGAGCTTGTTCAAGCAATTTGTTTATTATGGGCTGACAGCTTGAAAAAGTCATGAGCCTTGAAGATAAATCGTTTTGTGAGAAAGACGAGACAAAATTTTAGTGCGCGACGCCAGCAGCTGGCTATTTTTTTGCGCTTTTCGTGGGGTCAAATGACCCCTGGGTTCCGAGAAGAGGAGATGTTCTCCTGCCGATAAAGGATGGTGCCGCCTTTTAGCAATTGTTTTTGTCCCGATTTTGGGAGTCCTTTTCTTTTCTTGGCGAGTCAGTTTTGCCAATTTGTTCTTTTGTTTCCAAGCCACCCCAGTTTTTGGGGATTTTTCTTATCTCTCGTTGGTTTCGGCACATCTCGGGATGTGCCAATTAAATTACATTTTTCGGCTTCTTTTTGGCGCCATCCTTTTCTCTAAGCATCCCATTTCTGGGGATTTTCGATCTTTCTTTGTCACATTAGTTTTCCGCGCATTCAAAAGATGCGCGGATTGAGTTGCGCGTCAGCTCGTTTCTTTTAGTTTCGATTTTCAAGGGAATCGTCAAAATAATTTCGTACAGGATTTGACATTCGTAGCGCGCAGTTCCACGATATTATACGAGATATACTCGCATGTTACTGCAAATATCGTTAGACTAATAATTTATTTTCCCTCGAATAAGGAAAAGGCTTCGAAATTCGACTGATTTCTCCCCCCCTGATGTTTTCACATTCCAGGGGATTGTGCTGCTGTGAGCTGGAAGAACCCGATAGCCCTGGTTTACGACCGGCAGATCCCGTTCTTCATCACCGGGGCAGAAGACAGGGCCCGGGTTTGCAGAGGCAAGTCTTTGGACCGGAATGTCACCGGGTACTACCCGGGCTTCATGTTTTTCGACACGGACCTGACAACCCAGACAACCACAAAATTCTGCGCCATTTCTCACCCGCACCCCAATGCCACTGGGACCAAGGTTAAGACGAATCCCGACTTTGAGGTGAACATATGTATTCACTATAATAACTATATACGTATACTTCCTCCATCAGTCCGTAGAATATAAGAATTCGATGAAACAGTCAACGAAATTCCTGGAATGAAAAAATCGGTCAAATTTCGCTCGTTGCCGTTCAGATTTTGCTTTTTCGTCATACAGATAGATGTCGCCTGCACAGCACCTCTGAAATTCATTTCTTCGAAAAAAATGCAAAAAAATTATAAATACTGTAGGATAATTTACGTCACGCTAAGATAAATCAGAAGCTCATAAAAATGATCAAATCATCGAAGATATTGCATGAATGAAAAAGCTTTTATTCACATGCTTCAGAAAAATGGGGCGAATATTTTTTGAATGCAGTCAAATTCTTATATAAGCAGGGTGCATTATCGGTGGACGACAAAAGTCCATTGTGCGAATAATACATTGCGCAAGACTTGTACTACAAGTGTAGCACTGAGCTTTTTTTTGTTGGAAGACAGACAATTTAAAAAAATATATATCTGCTCTGAGAGTGGGTGTTGAAGGTATAAATAATGTGCGGAATTTTCCCGCCGACTTTGACAACAGTCATGAAAATCCCTGAAAAGGGTAACAGGGAAACAAGTTTTTTGAAACTCAATCGGCGCGTCTCGGGACGCGCCTCGAAATACTGCAAAATAATCCCCCTGACGGGGCGGCAAGTCAAAACAAATTGTAAACCTTTAAGAAAACAATTCCTTTCTCCAGCATTCGACCCCTCTTTTTTCCTTTCTTTTTCTCATTATTTAGGAAGGAGGTCATATGACCCCCATTTGTCTCCTCGGGGTTAAAGAGGGTTCCAAACTTTGCCAGCTGCTGGCCGCCACCCTCTGGTTTCTTCGTTCTTATTTTTTCTTTCGGCTCCCGAGAACCATTTTTTGTTTGAGGAACGCGACACCCTTGACTTCAAGATGTTTTCCAAAAAGATTCGTTCTTATTTTTTCTTTCGGCTCCCGAGAACCATTTCTTGTTTGAGGAACGCGACACCCTTGACTTCAAGATGTTTTCCAAAAAGACAGCTCTAGAGTAATTTATACTTGTCGTCGAAATCTGCACACCCTTGTAAAATAATTGTCTTTGGAAACTGCGCAGCCCTGTAAAAATTTACAAGCTAAAGACACCCGGTTCCCGGGGGGGGCAGTATATATTTTTCCAAATTGCCGACCAATAGCCAGATGTTGCAAAAACATCCACACCTGGTATTTTCGAGGAAACCCAGCAACTGGGAAAAATACTCAGATTCAAGAGCATATTGAAAAAATTATATAAGACCCTCAACTCCCTGTGAAAAACACAGTCCGAATTTTGCGTGCGAAGCGTTACGTTGTGTTCGTAAAATTTGTCCCTGCTGAAAAATTTACCAAGTCGGAAAACTGTTGTGCATATTTTACCGCGGAAACCTGTTGTGCATATTTTGTATTCAATTCTATTTGTCGATCTGCTAACAAAGGCTTGCGCTGTTTGGGAGAGAATCCCTGGTCGGTTCGCGCACCGGCCAATTGCCGTGTTGAATTCATTTTTTCTGTTCTTGAAAATCTTCTTCTAAAAATCCTGTTCGACAATTCTAATTTCAAAACCTCCTTTGCAAATTTAATCAAGTCATATTAAGAACTTAAAAACAAGGTGTACGGCTTCAAATATTTCCTCTCGTAAAAACCGTACAAAAAACTGGTAGCAGAGCGTGGTTTTGTCTACGTAAAAAAAAAAATCTTTTCGCTTCCACTGCGCCTCCTTAAAGAAACTTTTTACCTAATAATCTTTGTGGTTCTTTGACTATTCTTTGTGTATTTCAAGAGAAAATTATTGTCCTTTGCCTACTAATCTGTGCTGTATTTCTTTTGCGTCTAAAAAAAAAAATCTTTTTGCTTCTACTGCGCATACTTTGAAAAATCTTAAACTTATCACTTGTGTTACTCTTTTGATCCTTCTTGTATTTAAAAAATCATCTTAACTCTCGTGATTAATTCTTGCATACTTTTGTGCTATTTTCTGACTTCTTTTGTGTATTTCCAAATTGAAAAGTGTGCTGTTCTTCTTACGTGATCTGTTTCTTTATTTCACGATCTTTCGAAACCTTCATCAGGCATCTAAAAGACTATCCACTTAATTTTTCCATATCCAGTGCCTTCCGTTCACCCTTGTGTCCTTTTAAAAAAAAACTACTTTCATAAACTTTTTCAAACCTTATAACTCAGTGTGTGTTGTGTTCTTTATATAAAAAAATGATGAGGACCACAAGTCCGGCAGCCCGAGAACCGGGAACCCAAATTCTGGATACTGACGCCCTTGAAGTACATCAGTTTATGTCTGGGGTCTTCGAATCTCATGCTCAGTCGCTAAAACTTCTAGAAAATCTCTTTTCAAAGGTTAGATCAATTCAAGAATCCCTCTGTCCTACCGAGTATCTAACCCTTAAACAGGGGGGATCCATACCAACTAAGCCAGATCTCTACTGGTGTAAAAAGTTTAATGTTATTTTATCTCTTAACTTTTACCCAAGATCAAAACCTGGTAACATTCCAAAAGAAGATGTTATCAAGAAAATACGTATTTACTTACCCTCCCCAAACCTGGGAAAACCCTTGGGCCCTGTGTGGTCACTTCTTAATATATGTCATCAGAACATGGGTCACCCATCCCCTTATTCCTCTCTTAATTTTATACAACAAACCTTTCGAGTCAAGAGGGCCCGAACATTGGCCAAGAATATTGTGAAGAATTGTGAAAAGTGCAAACAACTTTATTCCTTCGAAACCCCAGTTCCACCTTTTCTGACTGGTGAAAAGCCAATTTTCCCTGAGTAATTAAAGGGGGGGGACTTCATCCGGTTCCTATTTTTAAGAACCCTCCCACACCCTGTTTGTTCTAATGTCTTAGTTCTCCTATACTGGAAATCCCAGAAATGGGTAAAACCAAGAGGCTGTTAAAAAATCCCAGAAATGGGTGAACGAAGAAGCCTCGAATGAACCCTGCAAACACAACTGGTGAAACTGTTAAAAAAAATGATGATGAGAAGTCAGCTTGTTCAAATTTTCAAAACTTGTTTATTAACGTCCCCAAATCCCAACTCTTCCCTCCACCCACATATATACAAAATTTTACAAGATATCACACAAAAATTTGGACAAAAATATAAACAAGAGGTAAAAACAAACCCCCCCCTTTTTTGTTTCTCTTCAAAACCTGGTAAGATTCCTGATGTGCACGAAATCTAAACCCCCCTCCCCTACAAGCCAAACGAAATCTCCAGCCTTAGAGATAATGAATTTCTTCTGACGCGATCCTTTGACTCTGACCGTTGTTCCAATCACCATCCTTGATGAGCTGAGATGTTTGGGATCCGACACCAAGAACTCCACTGAAAAAACCTCCAAGAACATCTTGACACTTAGAACTTCGTCCATTCTGAAATAGGTAGAATATTTATTACATTTTAGTATGACTCCCAACAGAGATCCTGTTCAAAAAAAAACTCACTGTTTAAATGGATCCCCTCCTGCTCCAAACACGGCAGGGTTAATATGAAAGGGCCCGTTGCCCTCGCAATTCTTAGGCCCATGATCCGTACAATGAAAATGCGGCAGGGCTGGGGGGATCCCAGGGCTGGCCTTGCCATCACCCAACCACTGGGGGCATCTTCCAGNTACCATACTTCATGTCCTGTACTACGCACCCAGGCACTGGGAGTACGTAAAGCGGGAACTTCTCCAACCGATGAGGATCTATCGCCATTCTTTTAAAGACATTCTTCTTATAGGCCACTTGGTCAGCTGGCTCATACGCACTCCCCTTAAAAGGATGATACGAGTGCCCTAAAAAGAGTAAAATTATATATTAATAATAAAGTCTCAACCCCATTACTGGGACAACTATAACCCACATGGTTGTAAAATGTCGAGAAGATCCTCCTCTGCATTCGCTTTAAAATCACTCGAGTTGGAGACTCCGGGCAAAGATGATGGACGAGCTACAGTCCCTGGAGGGAGAGCAAATCTCTTCTTGTCAACCTGGACGGTCGCCACTTGCAGTTCCATGGCCCCACCCTGTGACGAATCCCCGCCACTTGTTAGATCTATTTCTTCAATATTAGTCGAAGTCCTCGGCCTCTTCACATTAGTCACTTCTGGGCCCTTTAGAAGAGTTAGTAACTCCGTAATTGCTCTCTTGTTGGTAGTCCTTTCACGTGAGGCTTCCACAGCCTCCTTCATCCAACATTCTTTGATGGCTTGAGCACTTCCGAAGTGGATCTTTGTTGATCCCGTAGTCCACGTCTGGAGATCACCCGCTGGAAAAGCTATGGAAATTAATAAACCTATAATTAAACTCTATATCTTCCCAATAACTGGGGTATTCATCATCACCTCTTGCCACAGCAGTAACGGCAATCCCTTCGGCAAGATATAATTCATTTATCCCGCTTAGGGCTCCCTGAAACACGCTGGCATGCCTCTCTAATTGATTTTTTAAGGAGGCCTCTAAAATCAGGTTCTGATTCTCTTCCCTCTCACGAAGCATGTCTAAGGTCTCTTGACTCTTCTCCAATTCCATCTTTTGTTCTTCCAAAACTTTCTTTTCCTCCAGAATTGCCTGCAGAACCCTCTTTTGAGATGAAATATTTTCAGCGTATTGTTGAGTCTCTTTCCTTAGTCTCTCCAATTCCACTTTTAATCCATCCCGTCCAATCTTGGCATTTGATTCTGCCTCCAAAAATGGAAGAAAATCTCCCATCCTCTGTAAACTAGCCTCAGACAACTTCTGTAATTTCTCTGCCATCTTTTCGGCTGACCTTGGCAATTTAACCAATACTTCTGACTCCGCTTGATTAAAAATTTCAGCACTTGAAGGCTTAAGATCCTCCATTTGGTCCGCTATAATTCAAAAAAAAACAAGATGTTTTCTTGAATTAAAAAACCTATTTCCCCATTTTACCATCTTAAGAATCAATACCTTCTTTAGGGATCTCCATCCCATCCTCATCATCCGAATCCTGAACCAAAACTGGAAGTTTAGAAACCTCCCCTTGATCTTCCAAAGCTTCACTATAAGACTCATTGGTCTCCTCCTCCTGAACAAAGGGCTCCTCAATCCTATCTGATTCCGCCATACTCCTCTTTTTTGACTCAAAACTTCACTTTCTCAAAAAACCTTTAAAAAATTATAAAGTAGAGAAATAACCTTTCTTTTTAATGAAGATCCTCAAGCAGGAAATCAAAAACATTTACGTATCTTTTTTCCCCAGTCTCTGGGAATTTCAACAACACCACCTTTTTTAAAAAAACAGAAGACCCTTAAAAGGGGGGGGGAGACATTTTAAAACACTTCGACGATATTGTCCGATGTATATCATCAAGCCATTTGAGAAGGGAGGGAAAAGAAAAGACTCCTCCGCCACTCGAATGAT